TAAACCCTTGATATGGATACACTATAAACCGGCCAGTCGCATTTCTTCCACAATGATTGTGGAAGCTTTTGACAATCAGCTTTTGATCAATGCACCTCTTTCATCCAAACATCAAGTAATGTTATTATCCTTGGCTGGGGGTTGGTGAATGGGTTCATTTTTCCTTCACTTACATTTTTTAAATCTCAAATTCTTTCTCTCCTGACTATGAAGGCCTACATATCTTGATGATTTTCCATTAAAAATAGACAAAAATGACATTCTCTCCCACCTGCACTGCCCAAATCAACAGGTACAGCTATTCACAATGTGGGGAGACTATGTCATACCTATCTGCCAACAAGCGGGAGGGCTTTTCCTGTGATGGTCCCCGTCTATAGAACAATGTCCCCTCTGTGGCCTAGCTGGTGCCCAATTTTTTTGGTGCCAGGTTAAGATGGTCCTCTACTCTGCGGCCTTTAAAGACCTACTTGGCCACCCTGGGCTTGAGAAGAACTACCCATTCCAGGTGTTTTGCAGAGCTATTCTTTGCTATTGTCTGGTTTCAGCTGTTCTGAACTTTGTATTTTATTTTTTTTTACTGATTTTATGTTGTTTTCATTACTTTTTTATTTGTTTGCTTCAACTGTGGAGTGGTACAGAAATGAAGTGATGATGAAGAGGAGGAGGAGAAGCATCAGTGGCAGCATCAGCAGCAGCAGGAGGAGGAAAAAACCAGATGCCAAACCTACTTTAGCACTCACAGGCTTGAATACACAGGGATTCAAGCTAGACAAAATGTTACCAACCCCAAATGAAACCATCCCTATCGTGGTCTCCATGTTTGTCTGCTACATAGCGTATCCTCCATTCAGTTCCACCTTGACTTTGTTTTTCTTGACCTCTGCTCTCTTCAAAGAGCAGAGGTCAAGAAATACAGTGCCTACTCTTTTGTTATGGCCAACAGGTGAAACAAATCTCTCTGAATTTGTATGCAGAGAATGGTGTGAAGGAAGGGCAGGTGCCTTTGGAAGTCCTGGGCCAGAGATCTGATGTGAGGCAACAGATGAATTGTTGTAGATGTGCTATTGTTTGCCTCCACCTGTGATAAGCATGTACCTTGAATCATAAACAAAACCTGAAATGTTGTAGAAGCACCACACGCGTGGGCCATGGGGTGGAATACAAGTGTAATAAATAAATACACCTCTCCTTCAACTCCTCACCACCAGGGAGAGAGGAGATGCACAGAAAGATGGAGTTGCCATGGTGAGCTGAACCACAGTCAGCTAGTTCTTACTGGCAAGGGCTCTGAGCTTTTGGACGAAAGACCTTGCCATCCCAGCCACTGGAGATGCCATGGACTGAACTTGGGACCCCTTCCATGCAAAGCAGATGTTCTTCCACAGAACTATGCTCTCACCAGCAGTTAATTAAAGCAGAGAATAAAAGTGTCATCTCGTGCTATTCCGTAAGGCTCTTATGCAGTCTTAGCGCGTTCTCGGTTTTCTTGGCCTCTTCCAGATCCCTGCTGGCTTGTCCTCCTTCGATATCCTTCTCGCTTAACATTCTTGTTCATGTGAAATGCGTCTCTGCCCCCAACCTGATGAATCTGTTGCTTATGCTGTTGCTTTGCTTTTTGAGATGTTCAGCCCGAGGAAAGGAAGCCTCTCCTGGGGAGGGTGGGAGGAAAAATCCCTAAACTTGGCAGTGCTTGCTACAGTCTAAGCAATGTCATGTGCTCTGGGAACATTTTCTTTTGGCTTCTGCACCATTGTTATTCAAGATTGCAAACTGCTCTGCAGTAGATTGCTACTCGTGCTACATGGCCGAGGGGATTTCAGCCATTCTGTCTGGCTACGTTATGCTATTTGCAAAGCAAACGAGCACTCCCAGCGAGCCTTTAATACCAGATGCAATTTGCATTTGCGACATAATCATTAAAAAATTGGCAAAATCATTGGACCAGGATTCGGGAAATGGAAAAAAAGAAAGATGATGATGAAAAGGATGGGGGGAAGAACCCAGAAGAATACCTACAGCCCGGAGATGGCTTTTCCCCCTTAACCCATTCCGCATCTCGTTTGCATTCTCTTGAGATAGCCTCCCTTCCAGTGCAAAAGATCAAAGTCTGCAAATAATTAATGAGATTTTTCTTATCAAAAATAGCTCCCCTGGAAATAGTTACACCTGTCAATAACTTGAGCATCACATCTACTAATCAAAAGGCCAACACTCCAGGGATGGAGATTGCTTCTTTTACATCAACCAGCCTTTAAGGAAAGTCTCTGGGTGGGATTTGTCGGGAGTCGTGCATTATGTTTTTGACACATAATAGAAATTCCACGGCGCTTGTCCATCCATCAACATCCACCCCTGGGAACAGTAAGTGACACTAAGAATCCCTGGAGCAAAGACTAGAATAAAATCAACAAGTAAACCGGAATATGTGTGTGTATAGAGAGAGTGAGGAATAAACAGGGCAACTGACACCTGTTAAGAGCAGAACTCATAGCTATTCCTGACACAGGAACATGCAATATTCATACTTGTCTTTAACTAGGAGTTTTAACGATGCAGGGAAGTGAGCACTCTAATTATATAGCCCGACTTTTCTCACCTTATGCTACAATTTAAACACTCATCATGGCTTAACCAATGATTTGCATCACTTCTGCTGGCACTTCAATCAAACAGGGCCACCGAAATGATTGCCATTTAATTTTGAGCAGCAGAAGACGATTTCCTGGCGGAAGGGTTAATTCTGTTTTTGGATGGGAGAGCTCTCTTCTAAGAAGACTTCGGGGGACTTGAGAGCTTCTTGGGAAGAGGGCAGTTGTGGGCTCAGAGCCGCATGAGCTTGGCTATGCAGATATTCAGATTGCATTGGATTATCTTGGATCATCAGAACTGGGCCAGAGCCCGAAGTCTCCGAAAGCACATGGTTAGCACTGGTTTATCCAGAACGCAGAACAGATGGGAAAGGATCGAGCAAGGGTGAATCTGTCAGGTTTGCTCTCTTCCATATTCATTGAAACAACAACAAAAACCAAGTCCTTTTTCCCTGGCATATGAGGAACTTTTCCCAAATCATACAAAAATAAAATGTGCACCTGCACCAGGAAGAGACGCATTGTGTTGGGGGTGGGTCCTTCCCCTCCATCCCTTCTTCTGCCATGCAAATCAGGACAAGAGTCTTCTAACTACATCTGGCATCATTTTCCCAATGGCTAAAGTGCCTGAATAGGCTAGGCACACATTTTTCAAATGAGCCTCACAGCGGATTGGGAATGTGCAGGCTCACATTTGCATCCATACATGGGGGAGCAAGGATGCATTGCAACGACAACCAAACCAAGCCCAAATGACCGTATGCCCATGGTTATTGGAGCATTTGTGGGCTCTCTAAGCCCAACCCAGCTGCATTTCAAATAGCCTGCACTCATGGAGTAAAAGATGTGGTTCATTTTCCCCCGGGAATGGGCAAAGGAGCTGGGAGATGGGAACAATCTCCAAGAATTTTACTTGCTTCTCCAGGAAATTCAGAATGGGAAAACAGTGTTCGTATGTCACCAAATGGCACTCCAATGGATTCTATTTCCCTTAAACCTGAGACAACGCCAACATTTCAGAGCCTGCTCTCTTCCTTGGGGGTGTAACCTACACTCAGGATTTATTTTGGCATTACCAGATACGTCACTGCGAAGACCTGGTCCTTGGCAGCCCTTTCCCATCCCACAGACTCCAAAACTGGGTGCTTTATCTAATGCTACGTTTCAGTTAAAGGACTTTCATTTCCCCACAGCCTTGAAAAATGGAGCTGGAGAACAATTATTTCACTAGTGGGCAAGAGGATTTAAAATGGAGGTACAATAATTCAGGGTATAGAACAAAGAAGGTATTTCCTCTTGCTTCCTTTAGCTCTATTTTCCTGACACTGTTTTACAGAATATGTTACAAATTCATATCATATAGAACAAGAGAGCTTCAGTTTAAGCATCAAGTTCTCACCTGTCCTATTCATGTTAATGTAAGCATTCCTGCCAGGACCAACTACTCCCTTTTCCAAGACGTGAAGGGAAAATGGACAGAATAGTACACCCCATTCTTGTCTGCCCACCCATGCCTTGCGGCCTTTTCCACTGCCGTAAGATGAAAATCTATTCTTATCTTTCTGGCTTCCTCTACCAAAGCAGTCTTAAAACTCTTTGGGCCTCAATATCAACTTAAGTGCCAGTCCCCATGCCCATATATACAATGCTATATATACGACAGGCAATAGAAAAATATATAATACACCATCCTTTTCTAATATCACTAATATAAGCTCATTATGACTTATGGCGTCCAATCAGAGCAGAAAGTGGGTGGAAGGAGAAGGGAAGCAGAGGGAAGGACTGCCCTCTTTTCTAGCTGTGCTCGGCCATTTTCCAAAAAAAAAAAAAAAATCCCTTACCTGTTCACCTGACCACAGTGAGCAACATTTTGTGCAAACCTGGGAAGCTTTCGCAGCATGTGTGGTACATCCGCAAACCTGCAAGTTGTGTGTGTAGAAGGACGTTGCTTGTACCACAGGTGTAGAGACAGGCAATGCCATAGAGCTCATTGTGGTCCAAACAGATGAGCACATGAATGCTCAGCACCAAGTCAGACTTAGGGCAGAAAGAAAGTGGAGACTGGGGAGCTAAACTGAAGAAATGCAACGGGTTATAACTGATGTTCCATACGGAAGGTAAGCATTTTACTACATTTCTGAAATGGGACTTTTCAGTATTAAGTTTTCAGCTAATGTTCAGCCCCTCATTTGCAAGCCTTTTGGCAATGCTCAGATTACATTGTCAGTATATACATTTCCATTATCAATCAGTTGATCAATCAACCAATCAATGAACCAAATGTGCATACCTTTCTAAAACACTTGCAAACGTACATGCCAGAATTTGGGGAATGGGTCGTATTAAATATCACATTCATGAGATACCAATATTAGCAGTAAATGGTATCAAGATTATTCCACTTACCGCACCGTCTGATGTTGCAAAGTATCTGGATCCGTGGCGTTCACTGTTAGCACAACACTGCCAATAGGGATGTTTTCTTTTTTGGTGACCGTCATTGGGTTCGGGTGGAAAATGGGACCTTCGTTGACATCCAGCACAGTGATCTGGACAGTTGCTGTGGAGCTGGTGTCATATGCTATATCCGGGACCAGCGGGTCTTCATTTTCTACTTTGATCAGCAGTGTGTGGAAAGCTGAGATTTCATAGTCCAAAGGCTGAAAGGCACGGATATAGAAGGATACTCGTGTTTACTGGTTTGATGCTGAAGTTTCTTCAGACTGGGAAACTACCTCCTGCTCTGGAGAACTTCCTAGTGGCTCCTCCATGCTGCCATTAAGCCAACGAGTCCCAAACGAGGACATTCAGGCTTGTGGTACACAATTAATTTAAAGAAGATAGATGCTGCTAGTGCACTACAGGCCAAATATAGTCCTTGGACGGTAGAGGCATTGCTCGGAGCTTCAAGGAGGAGGCCCAAGGGACACGCATGCTACGCTTCCCATAATGAGAGCACACTCCCATTAGAATGAACTTGTTGGATATTCAACGGTTCCTTTGGCCAGCACCAAAAGTATCAGTGGACACGATTCCAATCAAATGCGGTGAAAGTTAGGGACATGTGACAGGACAGGGTTGGTGCATCTCTTTCAGCCTGAAGGTCAACCTCAATTTTGGGGAGCCTCTTGGAGGTGCATTTCAGTGATGAGTGAGGCCAAAGGGGTGGGGCCAAACATCGGAAATAACATAGTTGCCTGCTGCTGCTGGCCATCTCAAGGAAGGCAGTTCAACCTTCAGAGAGGAAGGAAAATCTGCAAATCTGGGGTGACACACCGTGAGTGAAAGGGACGCATCCTGCTGAAAGGGAGATGGCCTTCTTGGGGAACCCTGGTGGGACAGAACTGGTCACCATGCTTGCACTTACTTCACTTCACAGCCTCCTTCACACCTCCCTCTTTTCCTGCCGTTACCTCTGTATTGTTCCCATTTTATGTGCAGTGACCAGAATTGTATACCTTACTCAACTGCAGCATCGCTAATAATAATCGGGGAAACATTATATCTATATGATGGATGGATGAAAAGAACGTGCCCATAAATGGTCCTCACCTTGACGACTGACAGCATCCCTTCATTATTCTTGGGGTTCGTATGGATCTTAAAGCTCTGACCTGGGTTCCCATTGATGATGGTATAAACTGCTCTCCACGCGGCTGTTTCTGGGTTGTCCCGATCTTCCACCGTCAAATTCACAATCACGCCCGTGCTTCCTTCCTTCACTGTGGCTTGGAACTCAAAATTAATAAAAGTGACATAAATGTTACTACCGTCAAACAAATGACCGCCATCACCACAACAAATTTGCTTAAGGTGCTATGAATTATTCACAGCATCCAAAGGGATAAAATGTAATCCTGGAATGAAAGTGAATTTTTACAGGCTGTAAATAATGCATTTTTTGGAGTATAAAGTCTATGGCACTATATTACCGTTTTGCTGCCCCTGTTTTTGAACGATTGCAGATAAAGAGCAACATGATTGGAATGGGCTTGGAAAACTCTCCAATAAGAAATATGGGAAGAAATCTTCTGTTAACTCCCATTCATGCAAAGAGATTTGGCACACACTATACACAGGTGCTTCAAAATAAAACGGATAGAGAAGGAAACACATCCAGCATATACAACGAATTTAAGAACAGGCTGCTTCAACTGTGGTTTGTACCCATTTTGGCATTTATTTTTCCTCTCGACGCTTGAACTACAACATGTCATTGTCCTTTCTAGTCTGCATGGGTGATGGTGTTGTGTGTAATAAAACTAGTGGCGTTTACTGTATTATTGTGTAATAAACACAATAAAACAAGTGGCGATTATCGCAAGGCTTATTGCCCAAGTCATCAAATTCACTCTACAGTTTCCTTCCGGTGCAGGTATTTTACAGGCCTAGAGGACACTTTTTGGTAGGTTGTTGTTTTCGAGGGTGTTAGGAAAACCACTTGGTCCAGACCAACCTTGGCGCAGCCTAGCATGGGTATGGATTGACCGCTTTCTATGTGGCCACATGAAAAGCAAGGGCCATGAGGCATATGGGCACACAGCAAAGACGAAAAGAGAATGCTCATGGGAAGCAGTCGGACTCTGGTGCGCCTGCAGCTGGAGCATTGCGCTCAGTTCTGGGACCCTCAAGACAAGAGGAGTATAGCCAGGCTGGAACCGGTGCAGCGAAGGGCCACAGGGGTGGTGGCTGTTTTGCAGGGGAATCCATGTGAGGAGAGGCTGAGGGAGCTGGGTCCTTCCAGCCTTGAGAGGAGGAGACTCCTAGGGGACCTGTTAGTGACATGCAGGTATGTGAGGGGGTGCCACGCAGAGGTGGGTCATGACCTTTTTCCCTGTGCAGTGGAGGGCAGGAGGCATTCCAATGGAGCAAAGCTCAGGGAACCAAGATTTACTTCCTGATGGTTAGGACCCCTAGGGCATGGAATGGGCTTCCACGGGAGGCGGTTGAAGCCTCATCAGTGAGGGTGTTTAAGGATAGGCTGGGCGTGCACATGGTGCATGTCATGAGTGGAGCTGGCTGGAGCTGGGGGTCAGACTAGATGGCCCATGAGATCCCCTCTGACTCTCTTTCTGTGTTTCTCTTTTACTGTTAATGAAGCTTCCTCTCATGCCCTGGTTGTGCAATCTTCTGGACCACCATGTACACAGAAGGATGGGCTAGCTGGGCCCTTGGTCCAGTACAGCAAGGCTCTTCTCATGTCCTTAACTAACCTCTGCCCAATACCCAGATGTTGGCCGCACACCTATGGAAACTGGTGATGACGTAACCCTCACCTCCAAGCTAGAACACGCACGGCAATGAAATTCCGACGTGTACCAGTGCATCTCCCAAACTTTTCTTGCCACTCTCCATGGCTCTTCAGCCCTCCTGCTTTTGAAATGTAACACTTGATTTGCATACAATCCCTCAGCATATTGAAAAACAAAATCTGCCAGCTACATCCTCTCCTATGGGCAGAAGTCCATGACCATGTCTTAGAGCTGTTGCCCCACAAAACAGAGAATTGGCACCAGCATGGGGCCGTGGAACCGGAATGGGGTGGGTGGGGGATCACGAAGCACAATCAGATGGTCATTCCCCCAACAGATTCCTAAGACATCCCTACACCCAAATGCATATTTTTAACCCAATAAATGAACACATTTTTTTTAAATGTACAAATCAACACATCTGATCATAAGCTCAGGAGAACGGAAGTTTGCTCCAACAAAAGTCCCCACATTCAATGGGGGAAACTGGGCAATTTCTGATATTAACCAACTTAACTGCAAGTGTCTTGTGTTTCTAGCAGCAGACTGCAAAAAGTTGAACTGGAACAAGTTTCATGAGTAGTGAAACCTCTAGTGACCAGAAACTATGATTAGATGGTGCATTAATTGATTTTGTCCGTCTTTAATATCCACACATCCCCAAAGCATCACAACTGGGAACAAAACTGATGAGCCCAGATGTGTATTTAATCTGTTGCCATCAGCTTCCATCTTAAAAAAATCATTTAGATCTAAAGCACCTTGGGCCAAATCCCCAGTTGGTTTAAACTGGGTCAGTGGATTTATATTTGCTCAAATCCCAGCTGAGAGCTTTGCTCCTGGAAAGTTTAACCTCTTAAAAAGATGTATTCATCTCACTGCACACAACTGGCCACAAGCAGAAACTTCACACCAGACCGTATCTCCTTCACCGAAATTTAGCATGGACGAAACGTGCTCAGCTCTGTATTCTGAGGACTGGGCTGGCTCAGCCTGAGCTGAAAAGGTCACACAGTGGATCTGACTTTCTCCGTGTAACAGACCAAAGGCAGATTGCATCGTGCAACTCACAGCCCTCAACCCACCCTGATGGTGTGTTTGTGCCCATTTCACAGAAGACCGCAGTTGAGTCTCAAGCCTCTGGATAGCATCTGGCCAACAAGGGAGACCCAGTCAACTCCACTTTCCTAAATGGGCCCACCATTGTTTGATGCGCCCCTGACTTTTGCGGCATTTCCCCCCACTGTTCTCTTCAACCCATGTGTTGAATAGTGGCAAAATGTGTGCATGTGGGCAGCTGCGTGTGTGTGTGTTTGCGCATAGGTGCATGTGTGTGCTGGGGATACTTGTGTGGAATTGGGACATGGGAGCCCAGCTTGCAGGTTCCCAGTAGACTAGCTGAATGCTCTGCAGTGGAGGGCAGTCTTGAGCTGGTGCCAAAAAGACAGTGAAGTTAGTGCCCACTGGGCCTCGGTGGGGAGCTCCTTCCATAACTTTATTTATTTATTTGGAATTCTTACATGCCGCCCCCTTCGCATAAGCCTCAGGGAGGCTTCCAACAAATAAATATCACTACAAATACATAAAAATTGGAAACATCCTGGTAAATAATATAAAACCGAGAAATAATCGGCAATTAATCAAAATAACATTTAAATAAAAAGGTACTTATTGATAATTTGAGTGGGGGCACCCCTGAAAAGGCCCTGCTTGAAAAGGCCCTGCTATCCAAGGCTTGGAGGTGGGGATTGGAGAAAGCTTGGAGGAAGAGGCCAGATCGTATTGTCCGGGTAGATGAAAGACAGGGGAGGCCTTCCCTCAGGTATTGCGGCCCCAGCCATGTAGGGCTTACAGCGCCTTGAGCTGGGCTCAGGAGCCTCTACCCAGGAGAAATTGCAGCTCACGGCAGATTCCCGTGATCTCTCCCAGAGCTTGCCCTTTAAGATGCTGCCGGCATTCCTGATAGGTTAGAACAACAGCAAAGCTGTTTGCTGATTGACAGGAAATAATTAGCAGCAGCAGCAGCAGCCGCCGAGCATGTGAGATCTGGCGTGTTGAGCTCATTTAAATCATCGCACCGTCATGCCTCCGGTTTCCTTCTGCACCTGCTACTTTCTAAGGGTTCTTTTGTCCCATTCCAGCTGTGGAGTTGTGAGAGACGCCACAAAATCTCGCCTTTGTGACACTACCACTCGGGGTAAACCTTAACTGCAAGAAATCACTGTTCCAACCAGCAGCGATCAGTTTAGATACCATACAAACGTGGGACAAAATCAATATTTGTTGCGAGGGCACAGAAATGGGCCACAGGGTCTTTCCCCACACCCACAAAGGAAATAATTTCTCTCTCAGACCCTATTTCTTTTGCAGCTTGACTTAGGGAACCCCAGAGAGCAACAAATGTAATGCAAGAGAAAACACGGCCTGGATTGATGAGCACCGAATCCAATAATTCATTAGGATTCCACACACTGAGAGCCCCGGTTGAGAGCAAGCTAATTAAAAATGCATGTTGCTTTGTATTAATTGATACGTCATTATGTCATTTCACCCCACTGGATGAAGGAGTTTGGTGCATCCCATCCATGGCATCCCATCGCTTTTTTTCTCTCACAGGGCTGACAAATGATGAGGAATGTCAAGACTGACATCGAGTTTCCCCAAAGTGCTCCAAGAAATAGCATCCTTTCTATGTTTCCTTTGCTCATTTGCCCCAAGCAAGGAAAAGAAAAAATAGTTGAGAATAGATCATAGGATGCTCAGCCAAAGACTAGAAGGCAGCACCAGGCAGATTGATTATGCCACATCCAATCTGTTTAGCCTATTTATTGGAAAAAATACAATGGGTCCAATTATTCCACCTTCTATTAGCTGCTCCAGCACTACAGAAAGGGTGAGTATCTGTTCTCCTTGCCATGGGATCTCCCTGCTCTATATTTCCCTCCTCTCTCCTTCTGCTGGAATTTGAAGAATTTCTAAAACTATGAATTATAGACCCCCAGTTTATTTTCCTCTTTTCCTAGTTTCTTCTAAGTTTCTGAGGTTATCACTGAAGGAAGCAGCTCAGTCAAATCATGGTTCAAAATGATATGATTCCGAGGATGTGACCTGTGATTCTATCAACAGAAATGTGATGAAATCACAGTGAACAAGAGAGGATTTCCTATCTTGATTGGACCATATGATTACTTCCATATCTTGTTATTGCACTGTGATTTAATCATGCATCGTTGCCATGGTGAATACCAGTAAACTGTAAGGAAGAGCAGAGCCATCTTTAAAAAGCAATGGGCTATTTATGTTCACCTGTTTGAATTGCAGACTTTCAGGGACACGGACTGACCCTAAGGAGAGGTAAATCTATACATTTTGGTTTTTATCAATCTCAAATTCTTTTTGTCCCACACAGCAACTGTAGATCAATTCTTATCAATGATAATTGAATGTTGAAGAAAATTATGATCCATTGTTAGTTGACCACCA